TTGTATCTGTTCTGACTGTATGGTCTAACCACATACAATTGTATCTGTTCTGACTGTATGGTCTAACCACATACATTTTATCTGTTCTGACTGTATGGTCTAACCACATACATTTTATCTGTTCTGACTGTATGGTCTAACCACATACAATTTTATCTCGTCAGTGTGTGAGCGTGGTCTAACCACATACAATTTTATCTGTTCTGACTGTATGGTCTAACCACATACAATTTTATCTGTTCTGACTGTATGGTCTAACCACATACAATTTTATCTGTTCTGACTGTATGGTCTAACCACATACACTTTTATCTGTTCTGGCTGTATGGTCTAACCACATACAATTTTATCTATTCTGACTGTATCGTCTAACCACATACACTTCTCCAATTAAACCGTTCCGCATGAATGGCTCACATTTTTGTTGACGTTAATGACGGGGGTGTTTAAATAAACCAATGTCTGCTATTTATGTCTGCTATCTATGTCTGCCACGACACGCACTGGCATTGAAGCGCATATAATTATAATCAATGACCCACAATTCCTGGCAAACATCTATCACCCAAGTTCCAACTGAAGATTGAATAGACTTGGTTGAAGTGCTCACTAAAAGCAGCGATGTTGAGATAAGGTATAGAGGGTTTGGTGTTTCATAGCAGAAAATTACTCAACTATTGAATGTTGGTAGTTATATGTTGACCAACCAAGTATATATTTAGTACATTTAAACTCAGTTATAACAATATGATTATTTTAATGATTTCATCTTTTTTTTTTATTTATTATATGTTATAATATCTACATAAATTACTCAACTATTGAATGTTGGTAGTTATATGTTGACGAAGCAAGTATATATTTAGTACATGTAAAATAAATTTATAACAATATGGTTATTTTAACGATATCACCTTTTTTTCTTATTAATTATATTTTATAATATCTACATAAACGTATGCTATATTAATGATGGGACGTAAATTTTGTATGTTGTCCTAGCCAATTTCTGAAATCATATTCTGGACTGAACTTCGATGTCGGTTTGAGAAACATAAATGTGCGCAATTTTGACGCGCCGGGGTTTGAGAAACATAAATGTGCGCATTTTTTGACCCGCCGTCTAAAGGCCGTCAGATAGACCCCAACCAGAGTTTCTTCCAGGCATCTCTTCTACCCCCCCCCCTCCCGAACGAAATGAAATTTATATAATTTATATAGAAAATATATACTTTTAACAGTGTCCGCCCCCAAGCCCGAAGAAAGTCTACCGCCCCCCCCCCCCCCGAAAATTTCAAGTGCCCCCCCCCCCCCCAGGAGAAAAGTCTGGAAGAAACACTGACCCCAACCCACTCTCCAAATATAAATATACTTCAAGAAAAACGTGGTCGAATATTTGGAACAATTTGCCACCTAATCGCCACGACTTTGAAGCAGAAATAGTTCTGTATTTTAGCAGTTACTGTTTATTTAATCTACCCTATGTACACTTTCACTTGATAAATCAGATTGGAAAATATTTTGTGTGGGTCACTTTAATGCTAAAATTGTGCTAACTTTACTGTACGGTTAAATTACAGATGTTAATTAGCCACTGGTCTATTTTTTGAGCTCTTGGTAACCACAGCTCAAGTTATTAAACAGTTGTAGTACACTGGATGGTGGCTTTAGTCATAGTCACATTTGATTATTTTATTCCGTGCTCGGTATTAGAATCCATTAAAACTGTACGTACAGTAAAACTACTTTATTTTTATTTTAAAAAAAACCTTTATTAGAATCAATTAAAATTGCCGTCAAAGTAAAACAACTTTATTAGAATCAATTAAAAAGTTTCTTTAAATAAAACGACTTTGAAAATGGTAGTGTTTGAAGTCAACAGTACAACTTCCAAAAAAGCTCTCTTGAGAAAATTGAGTTGGGAATTTTTTTACAACTTTGAAAATGGTAGTGTTTGGAGTCAACAGTACAACTTCCAAAAAAGCTCTCTTGAGAAAATTGAGTTGGGAATTTTTAAAAATCATGGCATGACAGATAACTCTATGTTGTGTGACCTTGGGAATCTAACGATTCATGACCTTTATATTTTTGGTATAAAAAAGTAGTGCTTACATAAAAATACATGTAGTTTATCTATTTTTGCCTTTTTTTCTATATTAAGTTACATATTTTGAAAATTTTAATCTAGCTATTACAATAAATTAATAATTAAATCTAGAAGTTTGAGTGCAGTAAAAGTCCCCTATCGGACCGCAGGTCAGATAAAGTAGAGTTTACCTGTTTCTTAACCACGTCTTGTAAAAGAAATGATGTGGTCAGCACTAAGCCCAGTCGCCTTTCTTCCCCTGACGATAGCCAGGTACTCATCAGAGCTGGGTGGGCTCAGGGACATCTTCAAGGTTCAAGCCCGGGATCCGAACTCCAAACTTTCAGGCTAGCAGTCGTATGCTCTATCACCCAACCACGCCATTCCCTTTTTAGTAGTTTTTTTTTTAATTCTTCTCGATCAGACTTAACCAACAACAACAGCACATAAAACCATATGACCACTCACAAACAAATCTATTGATTTCATCACAAACAACACGACCTGCCCCAACCCTAGCCGGACGACAGGGTGTAAAAATGGAAATGTAATTAGCTGTAGACCAACATAAAAGTCCAACACTGCACTAGGCGGGGATTACAAGAGGTGGAACCTGTTTTCATTGTTAGGGCAAATCTGATTGGTTCACGGAGTTATTGTATGAGAAACCCGACCAATCAACTCACGCCATTTAAGTTATCGCCCTTCGTGTCCAGACTTAAGTTGTCGACCTTTAACTTTGTGATTTATTTTTGTTCTGTTTTTTATTTCGCTTAAAATAGTATGTAAATGTACAAGCATATCTATCTGTATCTATCTATATCTATTTCTATATATGTATATATATATAATGTATATATGTATATATATAATGTATGTATATATAATGTATATATATATATATATATATATATATATATATATATATATATATATATATATATATATATATATATATATATATATATATATATATATATATATATATATATATATAATTTATTTGTATATGTATAGGCTAAAGAGTAGCTTATATATGCTTGCTTACATGACAAGCCTCAAAGGCGCATAAGCAATTGACACGTATATTTCATTGTGTTGGAGGCGTGGTCGAGTCGGCAAAGCTCATGGTTGTTAAACCGAAAAAAAAGGCTCAAGTTCGAAACCTCTGACAGATAAAACTCGATCCCTTCCAACACTAAAAATTAAGAACGAAGAAGAAGACGACATGATAATTTTCAAACTTCGTTTACAGACCGATTCATAAAACAACTAGTACAACATTGACTATTAAGACACCGCCTTCGTCATTAAAGCACTTAAATTCATAAGAACTATATTTTGAGCTGATAATTTCTTTATTCATTATTTTTACATTAAAGCGAATTAAATTAAACTTCTTCAATTACAATTTTTTGTGTGTCTATAAATAGCAGCATTGCTGAATGAGAGAAAATACCGGTTGAACCTGCATTATCCCCGGGGTATCTCTTCCCCTCTAACCCCAAGATTATCTCTGTAATTTAAAAAAAAAACTTAACTGTGTGTTGGGGGAAGGGGGCATGGGGCAGTAGATTTTTTTGTAAATGTGCGTATAACTGCTCGTTTTTTATATCTATACGTATGTATATGTGTGCGTGTGTGTATGTGTACGTGTGTATGTGTGTATTCGCGTGGGATCCAGCCTTGAGTATTAGCCTAGGGTTGAAGCTGTAACGAAATCAGCGGACGTGGCAGAGGTTAACTAAATAAGGGCGATGGCTTGAATGTGATTTTGATTTCGTGGATCTACAAGTGTGAGCACTTTTTTTTAAACGGGCACTCAGAGGTCGTATCATTGAACTTTGAGACGATATAGATTTGTGCCGCCCCCCCCTCCCGCCCCGCCCCCACACACACTATACCCACACACTTGAATTACTCATCCACATCCTACACACAACCACAATATTCCCTCCCCACAAAATGACGAAACGTTGATTCACAGAAACTTCACATCACTTGACTGCAGTGAAGTGTTGTGACGTTATAACTTTATTCAATCGGCGATGGTATGTCGCAATCGAAATAGTTTGGTTTAGTTCATGAAATAAACCTTCTTGGAAAAAAATACCAAATGTAAAAACATAATCTGCAGTTTATTTATTTTTTTACATTTCCTAACTACAATCTGCCATAAATGACAAACTGACAAAATAACAAAATGATAAAATGACAAAATGACAAAATGACAAAATGACAAAATGACATAGGATGTTGAAAGTTGGTCATTTTTAGTTTTATAGGCTGACTTTATAGGTCAAGAATGTAAATACAAATTTCGATTGCACTACAGCTTGACGACACAGACTTTAGTTTGATATAATTATACAGCTAGACACATACAGACTTTGACTGTAACGCACTTTAAAATAAAACTTGTGAATGGGTGTATTCGTGGAGAACGTATCATCTACAATATCTGACATTTGTAGACAAATCGTATGTACATTTGTCTTATGTCTCCATGCTGCACCTTATTTGTCATCTAATAATATGTTATATCTGTCATCATTTCCTTATTACATGTGCCATCTGTTAAAACACCACACCTGACATCTGTCATCACACCACACCTGACATCTGTCACGTGTCATCACAACACACCACACATGACATGACATCACACTACACCTGACATCTGGTCATCACACCACACATGACATCTGTCACCACGCCACGCCTGTCATCTGTCACCTGTCATCACACCACACTTGACATCTGTCATCACACCACGCCTGTCATCACACCACACCACACCTGGCATCATATCACACCACACCTGACATTTGTGACCACATATGTCACCACACCTGACATCTGTCACCACACCTGACATCTGTCACCACACCTGACATCTACCTGTCATCACCAGATCAACCTGTTGATCAACACTGAGGACGGTGATATGAGCAACTACATCCCCAACAGCGAGTGGCACCTCGAGGTCTTCCAGGGCGAGAGGAACGTCCGTTTTTTCTCCTGCTGTGATGAGCCCTACCCACACATCACTTTCTACATCATCATTAGGGTTGGTAGACCTTTATAACTTTCTGCAACATCATTAGGGTTGGTAGACCTTTATAACTTTCTACAACATCATTAGGGTTGGTAGACCTTTATAACTTTCTGCAACATCATTAGGGTTGGTAGAACTTTATAACTTTCTGCAACATCATTAGGGTTGGTAGACCTTTATAACTTTCTACAACATCATTAGGGTTGGTAGACCTTTATAACTTTCTGCAACATCATTAGGGTTGGTAGACCTTTATAACTTTCTACATTATAATTAGGGTTGGTAGACATTTATAACTTTCTACATCATCATTAGGGTTGGTAGACCTTTATAGTTTTCTACAACATCATTAGGGTGGGTAGACCTTTATAACTTTCTACATCATCATTAGGGTTGGTAGACCTTTATAGTTTTCTACAACATCATTAGGGTTGGTAGACCTTTATAACTTTCTACATTATAATTAGGGTTGGTAGACCTTTATAAGTTTCTACATTATCATAAGGGTTGGTAGACCTTTATAACTTTCTACAACATCATTAGGTTTGATAGAGCTTTATAACTTTCTACAACATCATAAGGGTTGGTAGACATTTATAACTTTCTACAACATCATTAGGGTTGGTAGACCTTTATAACTTTCTACAACATAATTAGGGTTGGTAGACCTTCATAACTTTCTACAATAGCATTAGGGTTGGTAGACCTTTATAACTTTCTACATCATCATTAGGGTTGGTAGACCTTTATAACTTTCTACATCGTCTTTAGGGTTGGTAGACCTTCATAACTTTCTACAATAGCATTAGGGTTGGTAGACCTTTATAACTTTCTACATCATCATTAGGGTTGGTAGACCTTCATAACTTTCTACATTATCTTTAGGGTTGGTAGACCTTTATAACTTTCTACATCATCATTAGGGTTGGTAGACCTTTATAACTTTCTACATTATAATTAGGGTTGGTAGACCTTTATAACTTTCTACATTATAATTAGGGTTGATAGACCTTTATAACTTTCTACATTATTATTAGGGTTGGTAGACCTTTATAACTTTCTACATTATAATTAGGGTTGGTAGACCTTTATAACTTTCTACATTATCATAAGGGTTGGTAGACCTTTATAACTTTCTACAACCTCATTAGGGTTGGTAGACCTTTATAAATTTCTACATTATAATTAGGGTTGGTAGACCTTTATAACTTTCTACATCATTAGGGTTGGTAGACCTTTATAACTTTCTACATCATTAGGGTTGGAAGTCCTTTATAACTTTCTACAACATCATTAGGGTTGGTAGACCTTTATAACTTTCTGCAACATCATTAGGGTTGGTAGACCTTTATAACTTTCTACAACATCATTAGGGTTGGTAGACCTTTATAGCTTTCTACATTATAATAAGGGTTGGTAGACCTTAATAACTTTCTATATTATAATTAGGGTTGGTAGACCTTTATAACTTTCTACATTATAATTAGGGTTGGTAGACCTTTATAACTTTCTACATTATTATTAGGGTTGGTAGACCTTTATAACTTTCTACATTATAATTAGGGTTGGTAGACCTTTATAACTTTCTACATTATAATTAGGGTTGGTAGACCTTGATAACTTTCTACATTATAATTAGGGTTGGTAGACCTTTATAACTTTCTACATTATCATAAGGGTTGGTAGACCTTTATAACTTTCTACATTATCATTAGGGTTGGTAGACCTTTATAACTTTCTACATCATTAGGGTTGGAAGTCCTTTATAACTTTCTACAACATCATTAGGGTTGGTAGACCTTTATAACTTTCTGCAACATCATTAGGGTTGGTAGACCTTTATAACTTTCTACAACATCATTAGGGTTGGTAGACCTTTATAGCTTTCTACATTATAATTAGGGTGGGTAGACCTTTATAACTTTCTACAACATCATTAGGGTTGGTAGACCTTTATAACTTTCTACATTATAATAATGGTTGGTAGACCTTAATAACTTTCTACATTATAATTAGGGTGGGTAGACCTTTATAACTTTCTACAACATCATATGGGTTGGTAGACCTTTATAACTTTCTACATTATAATTAGGGTTGGTAGTTGGTAGACCTTTATAACTTTCTACAACATCATTAGGGTTGGTAGACCTTTATAACTTTCTACAACATCATTAGGGTTGGTAGACCTTTATACATATCACTTTCTACATTATAATTAGAGTTGGTAGACATTTATAACTTTCTACATTATATATATATATATATATATATATATATATATATATATATATATATATATATATATATATATATATATATATATGTATGTATGTATGTATGTATGTATGTATGTATGTATGTATGTATGTATGTATGTATGTATGTATGTATGTATGTATGTATGTATGTATGTATGTATGTATGTATATAATGTGTATTTAAATTGCTGTTCTATTGTATCGTGGTCAGCGGCGGCCCCTGTTCTACATCTTCAACATGATACTGCCGTGTATATTGATCACCCTGGTGGCACTGCTGGGGTTCTACATCCCCTCGGACTCTGGCGAGAAGGTGACCATGGGGATCACCACCCTCCTGTCCATGACCGTCTTCATGATGCTGGTCACAGAGAACATGCCGCCTACCTCGGACGTGCTGCCACTTATAGGTGAGTACCTCGCTCAGCTGATGCCACTTATAGGTGAGTACCTCGCTCACCTGATGCCACTTATAGGTGAGTACCTCGCTCAGCTGATGCCACTTATAGGTGAGTACCTCGCTCACCTGATGCCACTTATAGGTGAGTACCTCGCTCACCTGATGCCACTTATAGTTGAGTACCTCGCTCACCTGATGCCACTTATAGGTGAGTACCTCGCTCAGCTGATGTACGCAGGTTGTGCCACTTATAGGTGAGTGCCTCGCTCACCTGATGCCACTTATAGGTGAGTGCCTCGCTCACCTGATGCCACTTATAGGTGAGTACCGCGCTAAACTGATGCCACTTATAGGTGAGTACCTCGCTCACCTGATGCCACTTATAGGTGAGTACCTCGCTCAGCTGATGCCACTTATAGGTGAGTACCTCGCTCAGCTGATGCCACTTATAGGTGAGTACCTCGCTCAGCTGATGCCACTTATAGGTGAGTACCTCGCTCAGCTGATGCCACTTATAGGTGAGTACCTCGCTCAGCTGATGTACGCAGGTTGTGCCACTTATAGGTGAGTGCCTCGCTCAGCTGATGCCACTTATAGGTGAGTACCTCGCTCAGCTGATGTACGCAGGTTGTGCCACTTATAGGTGAGTGCCTCGCTCAGCTGATGCCACTTATAGGTGAGTACCTCGCTCAGCTGATGCCACTTATAGGTGAGTACCTCGCTCACCTGATGCCACTTATAGGTGAGTACCTCGCTCAGCTGATGCCACTTATAGGTGAGTACCTCGCTCAGCTGATGCCACTTATAGGTGAGTGCCTCGCTCACCTGATGCCACTTATAGGTGAGTACCTCGCTCACCTGATGCCACTTATAGGTGAGTACCTCGCTCAGCTGATGCCACTTATAGGTGAGTACCTCGCTCAGCTGATGCCACTTATAGGTGAGTACCTCGCTCACCTGATGCCACTTATAGGTGAGTACCTCGCTCAGCTGATGCCACTTATAGGTGAGTACCTCGCTCAGCTGATGCCACTTATAGGTGAGTACCTCGCTCACCTGATGCCACTTATAGGTGAGTACCTCGCTCAGCTGATGCCACTTATAGGTGAGTACCTCGCTCAGCTGATGTACGCAGGTGGTGCCACTTATAGGTGAGTGCCTCGCTCAGCTGATGCCACTTATAGGTGAGTACCTCGCTCAGCTGATGTACGCAGGTTGTGCCACTTATAGGTGAGTGCCTCGCTCAGCTGATGCTACTTATAGGTGAGTACCTCGCTCAGCTGATGTACGCAGGTTGTGCCACTTATAGGTGAGTACCTCGCTCAGCTGATGCCACTTATAGGTGAGTACCTCGCTCAGCTGATGCCACTTATAGGTGAGTACCTCGCTCAGCTGATGTACGCAGGTGGTGCCACTTATAGGTGAGTGCCTCGCTCAGCTGATGCCACTTATAGGTGAGTACCTCGCTCAGCTGATGTACGCAGGTGGTGCCACTTATAGGTGAGTGCCTCGCTCAGCTGATGCCACTTATAGGTGAGTACCTCGCTCAGCTGATGTACGCAGGTTGTGCCACTTATAGGTGAGTGCCTCGCTCACCTGATGCCACTTATAGGTGAGTGCCTCGCTCACCTGATGCCACTTATAGGTGAGTACCTCGCTCACCTGATGCCACTTATAGGTGAGTACCTCGCTCACCTGATGCCACTTATAGGTGAGTACCTCGCTCACCTGATGCCACTTATAGGTGAGTACCTCGCTCAGCTGATGCCACTTATAGGTGAGTACCTCGCTCAGCTGATGTACGCAGGTTGTGCCACTTATAGGTGAGTACCTCGCTCACCTGATGCCACTTATAGGCGAGTACCTCGCTCAGCTGATGCCACTTATAGGTGAGTACCTCGCTCACCTGATGCCACTTATAGGTGAGTACCTCGCTCAGCTGATGTACGCAGGTGGTGCCACTTATAGGTGAGTGCCTCGCTCAGCTGATGCCACTTATAGGTGAGTACCTCGCTCAGCTGATGTACGCAGGTTGTGCCACTTATAGGTGAGTGCCTCGCTCACCTGATGCCACTTATAGGTGAGTGCCTCGCTCACCTGATGCCACTTATAGGTGAGTACCTCGCTCACCTGATGCCACTTATAGGTGAATACCTCGCTCACCTGATGCCACTTATAGGTGAGTACCTCGCTCACCTGATGCCACTTATAGGTGAGTACCTCGCTCAGCTGATGCCACTTATAGGTGAGTACCTCGCTCAGCTGATGCCACTTATAGGTGAGTACCTCGCTCAGCTGATGTACGCAGGTGGTGCCACTTATAGGTGAGTGCCTCGCTCAGCTGATGCCACTTATAGGTGAGTACCTCGCTCAGCTGATGTACGCAGGTGGTGCCACTTATAGGTGAGTGCCTCGCTCACCTGATGCCACTTATAGGTGAGTACCTCGCTCACCTGATGCCACTTATAGGTGAGTACCTCGCTCAGCTGATGCCACTTATAGGTGAGTACCTCGCTCAGCTGATGTACGCAGGTGGTGCCACTTATAGGTGAGTGCCTCGCTCAGCTGATGCCACTTATAGGTGAGTACCTCGCTCAGCTGATGTACGCAGGTTGTGCCACTTATAGGTGAGTACCTCGCTCAGCTGCCACTTATAGGTGAGTACCTCGCTCAGCTGATGCCACTTATAGGTGAGTACCTCGCTCAGCTGATGCCACTTATAGGTGAGTGCCTCGCTTACCTGATGCCACTTATAGGTGAGTACCTCGCTCACCTGATGCCACTTATAGGTGAGTACCTCGCTCACCTGATGCCACTTATAGGTGAGTACCTCGCTCAGCTGATGCCACTTATAGGTGAGTACCTCGCTCAGCTGATGCCACTTATAGGTGAGTACCTCGCTCAGCTGATGCCACTTATAGGTGAGTACCTCGCTCAGCTGATGCCACTTATAGGTGAGTACCTCGCTCAGCTGATGCCACTTATAGGTGAGTACCTCGCTCAGCTGATGTACGCAGGTGGTGCCACTTATAGGTGAGTGCCTCGCTCAGCTGATGCCACTTATAGGTGAGTACCTCGCTCAGCTGATGTACGCAGGTTGTGCCACTTATAGGTGAGTGCCTCGCTCACCTGATGCCACTTATAGGTGAGTGCCTCGCTCACCTGATGCCACTTATAGGTGAGTACCTCGCTCACCTGATGCCACTTATAGGTGAATACCTCGCTCACCTGATGCCACTTATAGGTGAGTACCTCGCTCACCTGATGCCACTTATAGGTGAGTACCTCGCTCAGCTGATGCCACTTATAGGTGAGTACCTCGCTCAGCTGATGCCACTTATAGGTGAGTACCTCGCTCAGCTGATGTACGCAGGTGGTGCCACTTATAGGTGAGTGCCTCGCTCAGCTGATGCCACTTATAGGTGAGTACCTCGCTCAGCTGATGTACGCAGGTGGTGCCACTTATAGGTGAGTGCCTCGCTCACCTGATGCCACTTATAGGTGAGTACCTCGCTCACCTGATGCCACTAAAAGGTGAGTACCTCGCTCAGCTGATGCCACTTATAGGTGAGTACCTCGCTCAGCTGATGTACGCAGGTTGTGCCACTTATAGGTGAGTGCCTCGCTCAGCTAATGCCACTTATAGGTGAGTGCCTCGCTCAGCTGATGCCACTTATAGGTGAGTACCTCGCTCAGCTGATGCCACTTATAGGTGAGTACCTCGCTCAGCTGATGTACGCAGGTGGTGCCACTTATAGGTGAGTGCCTCGCTCAGCTGATGCCACTTATAGGTGAGTACCTCGCTCAGCTGATGTACGCAGGTTGTGCCACTTATAGGTGAGTACCTCGCTCAGCTGATGCCACTTATAGGTGAGTACCTCGCTCAGCTGATGTACGCAGGTTGTGCCACTTATAGGTGAGTACCTCGCTCAGCTGATGCCACTTATAGGTGAGTACCTCGCTCAGCTGATGCCACTTATAGGTGAGTGCCTCGCTTACCTGATGCCACTTATAGGTGAGTACCTCGCTCACCTGATGCCACTTATAGGTGAGTACCTCGCTCACCTGATGCCACTTATAGGTGAGTACCTCGCTCAGCTGATGCCACTTATAGGTGAGTACCTCGCTCAGCTGATGCCACTTATAGGTGAGTACCTCGCTCAGCTGATGCCACTTATAGGTGAGTACCTCGCTCAGCTGATGCCACTTATAGGTGAGTACCTCGCTCAGCTGATGTACGCAGGTGGTGCCACTTATAGGTGAGTGCCTCGCTCAGCTGATGCCACTTATAGGTGAGTACCTCGCTCAGCTGATGCCACTTATAGGTGAGTACCTCGCTCAGCTGATGCCACTTATAGGTGAGTGCCTCGCTCACCTGATGCCACTTATAGGTGAGTACCTCGCTCACCTGATGCCACTTATAGGTGAGTACCTCGCTCAGCTGATGCCACTTATAGGTGAGTACCTCGCTCAGCTGATGCCACTTATAGGTGAGTACCTCGCTGACCTGATGCCACTTATAGGTGAGTACCTCGCTCAGCTGATGCCACTTATAGGTGAGTACCTCGCTCAGCTGATGCCACTTATAGGTGAGTACCTCGCTCAGCTGATGCCACTTATAGGTGAGTACCTCGCTCAGCTGATGTACGCAGGTAACTGATGTGACTTATGCGTGAGTACCTGCCTCACCTGATGCTGGTGAGTGCTCTCACACGCATAAGGCCGGTGTATTGTTTTCACTCCCCATGTACAGAGGCGTAGCGAGAGGGGGGGGGGGCGGGGGGGCGGACCGCACCGGGTGACATCATTTAGGAGGTGACACCAAGGCAAAAAATAGTAAAATATATAGAGAAAAATTTGAGGGGGGGGGGGGTGCAAATCGAAAGTTTGAGGGGGGGGGGGGGTGCCAATCGAAAATTGAAAGTTTGTCCTCGGGAAGAGTCGCTACGCCTCTGACGGGGTAACACCATTAAGTGCTGCACTGGGTGACACCCGACCTCGCTACGCCACTGCCCATGTAGATACTGGACTTATATATACAAGTGCTATCGCTCAAGTGAAACAACTATTGTGTTAGCAGGATAGATGTAGCTAACAGCTATAGCACACATACACATAAGTTCTACCAAGATTCGTCTGTGTTTTTATGACAGTTATACGTGAGTACTTTAAACACGCGCATCTAGCGGCTCGTATTATTTCTGGTATGTTTCAAGAAATCACGTGACTCATATAAATGTTCAGCGTGGCATTGTGTGCAAGTTCTAGCCCGTCTAAGTACGACGCCAGTATTGATTACAGTTGTGAAGCATAGATTTTACTGACATTTGCTGTTAGACTTGTCATTTTTTACTTTGTTATCAGCTTAATGCGTCAACAATCGCACAATTTATTCAGCAAATCGCGATATTTAACGTTTTTAGAAGATAAAGAAAGGTACCGAACACTATATTGTCAGTAAGTAGGAAGAAACAGCTATCCGAGACAGAGTTTTCAGATTTCTAAAATACGGGTTCTCAATTGCACAAAATTTATCCTTTGACCTATTTTCCCATGCAGGTATCTAAGCACTGTTCCAGATTACTAAAATACATGTTCTCAACTTATCACATTACCTATCTTCCCACGCAGGTATCTACTACGGCATGACGATATTTATAGTATCATTCGCCACCGCCATGACAGTGTTCACCCTCAACATCCACCACAAGGGGAGCAGGGGCAGGCCGGTGCCGCTGCTGATCAAACGGATCTGCTTCGATCTGCTGGCTAAGGTGTTCTGTATGAAGGTGGATACATGGGATGAGCCGGTCAATTTGGTTAGACTTTTCATACACGACATTTTACGTGTTCCACTTGGTTAGACTTTTCATACACGACATTTCTACATGTTCCATTTCTACATGTTCCACTTGGTTAGACTTTTCATACACGACATTTCTACATGTTCCATGGCATTTCTACATGGTCCACGAGATTTCTGGATGTTCCATTTGGTTAGACTTTTCATACACGACATTTCTACATGTTCCATGGCATTTCTACATGGTCCACTTGGTTAGACTTTTCATACACGACATTTCTACATGTTCCATTTCTACATGTTCCACTTGGTTAGACTTTTCATACACGACATTTCTACATGTTCCATGGCATTTCTACATGTTCCACTTGGTTAGACTTTTCATACACGACATTTCTACATGTTCCATTTCTACATGTTCCACTTGGTTAGACTTTTCATACACGACATTTCTACATGTTCCATGGCATTTCTACATGGTCCACGAGATTTCTGGATGTTCCATTTGGTTAGACTTTTCATACACGACATTTCTACATGTTCCACTAGGTTAGACTTTTCATACACGACATTTCTACATGTTCCACTCGGTTAGACTTTTCATACACGACATTTTACATGTTCCATTTGGTTAGACTTTTCATACACGACATTTTACATGTGTCAGTTGGTTAGACTTTTCATACACGACATTTTACATGTTTCATTTGGTTAGACTTTTCATACACGACATTTTACATGTGTCAGTTGGTTAGACTTTTCATACACGACATTTTACATGTTTCATGGCATTTCTACATGTTCCACGACATCTCTAGATGTTCCATTTGGTTAGACTTTTCATACACGACATTTACATGTTCCACTCGGTTAGACTTTTCATACACGACATATTTATACATGACAAATTCATACAATTCATATCTACATGTTCCACGACATTCGAGCTCAGTAAACCGGCTAATTTGGTTAGACTTTTCATACACGACATTTCTACATGTGTCAGATGGTTAGACTTTTCATACACGACATTTCTACATGTGTCAGTAGGTTAGACTTTTTATACACGACATTTTTATACATGACAAATTCATACACGACATTTTTATACATGACAAATTCATACACGACATTTTTATACATGACAAATTCATACACGACATTTCTACATGTTCCACGACATTCGCGCTCAGTAAACCGGCTAATTTGGTTAGACTTTTCATACACGACATTTCTACATGTTCCATTCGCGCTCAGTAAACCGGCTAATTTGGATAGACTTTTCATACACGACATTTCTACATGTAACGCGACATTCGCGCACAGTTCAGCCACATCTTAAGTCTAAAATCTTTCCCACCAAAATCTTTGACATTCTCCCACCATTTTCTGTTAATTTTTTACACCAAAATCTACAGCATGTCCATATTATTCCCACGTTTACACCTCACACCTTGTAAGTTTGTATCAACCTATTTCATTAATTGTTTTTTTATTGAATGGTTTTAATTTAAATATTTTTTTATTTAAATTTTGATATATAAAAGATTATGCTGTAGAAATTCTTCTAACTTTACTCTGTAAGATTATTTTTAGCCGCATGTAGTGTGTTCTAGAAGTCTTGAGGTTTCCAGCGTAGTAAGGATATTGGCCAAAAATGGAACGGGGAGGGAGGGGGGGGGGGTTTACATTGTTTGTAGAGAGGGTTGGAAAGAATTCTTAGCGAAATCTTAGAGAGGGTTGGAAAGAATTCTTAGCGAAATCTTAGAGAGGGTTGGAAAGAATTCTTAGCGAAATCGTAGAGAGGGTTGGAAAGAATTCTCAGCTAAATATTTCATACAATCATGGATGTTGCTCTAACATCGTGACACTCTATGTCATGTCAACACGGTCAATGAATCACACGCTCACATCATGATGTAGGATTTCACAATAGCATCATCACGTAGAATGTTACAAGCCACATCATCACTGAATGTCACGCGATCATCATCGCATTTGATGTCATGTTGACACCATCACATTAGATGCCATCTTAACCTCATCGCATTAGATGTCACACTGTAATCATTACATTAATGTCATGTTAACATCATTACATTAATGTCATGTTAACATCATTACATTAATGTCATGTTTACATCATCATATTAAATGACACTATCGCTGCTTATCGCTTTAGTATTTCCATCAAAATAAATATTAAACTTTCTGTATGCATGGTAAATTTTAATTTATTTTGAAACAACTTTTATGGCTTTATTTCTACAAATAAGCAGTAGCAATGATTACATGCACATTCTATTTTTAGTAACACCACGAAGCAATAGTTTTATAATGTGTCTTGAAATACATAAACCAATTTCGATGGTGAAGATTTAAAAACAAAAACCCGGAACTAAAAATGATTTAAACGATTTAAAATTATTAAATTGTTATAATTTAAGATTCGCATGTTCATAATTCCTTGCATGATTATGTTTCTATTTTTATTTTCTGAAATAAAAACATTTAAAAATATTTACATCAAAATTCTATTCCTTATTCTGCTATTTATCTATTTTTATGTTAAAAGCATGACAGATTAAGTTATCCTGTAAGAATATTTCTGCTAACCGATGCTTTTAAATTCTAAGTAATTACTTAAATAACTTTCGATTTTATTATGATATATGGAAGTTGGCTGGCATACTTTCAGTTCACCTTTAATAAATGTTATCTTATAACTGACATTTTTTTCTGGCATAATTTTCAGTTCCCTCCAAATAAATTTGACCTTAAACCTGACCATATTTTTCTGGCATATTTTTAGTTTACCCCTAACAAATTTGACCTTTAACCTGACCATATTTTTATGGCATATTTTCAGTTTAACAAATTTAACCTTAAATCTGACCATATTTTTCTGGTATATTTTCAGTTCACCCCTTGTACATTTGTCCTTATAACTGACCATATTTATCTGGCATATTTTCAGTTTACCCCTAGTACATTTGACCTTAAATCTGACCATATTTTTCTGTCATATTTTCTGTTCACCCCTAGTACATTTGATCTTAAATCTGACCATATTTTTCTGTCATATTTTCTGTTCACCCCTAGTACATTTGACCTTAAATCTGACCATATTTATCTGGCATATTTTCAGTTCACCCCTAGTACATTTGACCTTAAACCTGACCATATTTTTCTGGCATATTTTCAGTTCACCCCCGACTGCAATGGGGCGCCCGGCGGATCGTCCAATTATATCCGTTTCAAGGTGGCCAGTCAGCAGGACGCTGACCAGATCAACCTGGTATGTCAGCCAGTGGCGCCGCCTCACACCCCCACCCCACCCTCTACCTGTACACCCCCACCTATACCTTGTGTACCCCCCTCTCTAACCACAGTCAGTAGGGACCCTGCATCGTTGTATTTTCTGTTGTTTTTATTTTATCGTCACCCCTCTGTGATATATGACTACCATGTGATGCCTTATGTTATCAACTTTCCTGGTGTATTCAACTTTCCGAATATTGTCAACTTTCCCTATGTATAACAATTGTCGTCGTAATCAAAACTCCGGATATTGTCAACTTTCCCTATGTATAACAATTGTCGTCTTAATCAACTTTCCGGATATTGTCAACTTTCCCTATGTATAACAATTGTCGTCTTAATCAACTTTCCGGATATTGTCAACTTTCCCTGTGTATAACAATTGTCGTTGTAATCAACTTTCCTGATCAACTATCGATCCTTATCATTTTTTTTATATCATTAAATTTCATATAATCTTTTTTTTCTTATTAACCCACTTCTATTATAAGTAGACCTTGTATGAGCTTCACTGAAACCACTAGATACATATTATTGCTCTAAACTGTGTCTGATCTTTGTATCGTCTGTCAGTCTTCACAACTTCAATATCAAATGCCGTCATAGACTTACAAAATGACGTATTGTAACCTTCATTAAAAATCATTTTCCTTCAACCCTTTTAATAATATGTAGAATATTTAACTTAAAAATTGAATATTTTGAGTATTAACTTAGCTTTAGATTCCAAAAGAAAAAAAATATTTTTAAAAAAATGGACGATTTACACTACTTAACTCTACCTAACGATGTGATCCGCGTGAATTATTCAATATCACACAACGCCGCATTGAAAAACAGCTACATTTGACCACCAAACCTACACCATTGAACACATACAATTTTTAAAATTCACCTACCACGAACGTTTGTTTTAAAACTTTTTTTTTGAGCACGTTTAATTAAACACCTGGTGCCTGCAATATTTACCTAATTTTTTTTCTCACACATCTTTGTGGGGTAGGTCACTCACACCAGTGTGTGGGGGAAATATGCGCGCGCTGCTCACTATCTTGCATGTTGATGTCACGTGTTTGATGTTTAGTTCACGCATGACTGGCTACCTACATACCACACCATCGCACCTTGAGATGTTTTGATAGCTTTGTTTTCTAAAAAAAAGTCTAGCTGCTGAAAGTACTGAATCCATTTCTTTTGGTAACAACACTAATTTGAGTTTTAAATAATTATATTTTATTGGATTAACATTGCATTTTAAATGTAATTTAATGAGTGAACAGGGAAGAAAAGTTTACTTTAGATTAAAATTATAAACGGTATTAAATATTCGAAATGGAACAAATACTTTTGGCGTGTGGACTTTTGACTTCCAGTATTTCTTGTATTTACATCAAGTGAACTTTTGTTTACATGTTGATGACATGTTGTTGAAATATTGTTGACAAATTGTTGACATGTTGTTGACATATTGTTGACATATTGTTGATATATTGTTGACATATTGTTGACATATTGTTGACATATTGTTGACATGTTGTTGACACATTGTTGACATATTGTCGACATATTGTCGACATATTGTTGACATATTCTTGACATATTCTTGACATATTGTTGACATGATGGGCACATGTTATTGACATGTTGCCATATTATCGCCATGTTCTTGCCCATATAACTGACCATATTTTCTGCCCATTTCCCCAGGAGCTGAAGCAGGTCCACGACATGACCCACGTCAGCCGCGTCGACATCCCCCCGCTAGACGGCGACACCTACCAGGGCAACGGCGCCATCCCCCGGACATTTCCGTCGTTCCGGCGCTCCAACGGCACGACGTCCACGTCGGAACAGGTGTCGGAAATGCCTCAGTTCGAGGCGTATTTCTCCCGCGTGCTGCAGCGGGTCTACCAGACTCTGGAGCGGAACGATATCCGGCTAGCGGAACAGGATCAGCGGGAGGGCATCAAGCTGGAGTGGCAGCAGGTCGCGCAGATTACCGATCGTCTGCTGCTGATCTGTTTCGTCTGCTTCACCCTGACCATCACGGGCGTGGTGCTACTCGCCGCCCCCGCGGGGGTCAATGTATGAGCGTTGATGTCTTGGGTTTCGGTGGCGTGGGTTCAAATCCCACGGGGAAGCTGAACTTTTTTTTGTTTTGTGATTTCTAGACCAGGACTTTTTTAGTCTATTTCCGGGGAGCGGAAATCGCGAAATCTCGACCCAAAGTGGTATAGTGGGAGCCGTGTTGTGTACAACATAGACCTTACGTCAAGTGTTTTAGTGTTTCCGTCGAGAATTTCCGTGATCGGAAAAAATGCAATATCTCCGCACTCATCCTGTATTAACGACGAACTCGTCTCGCAATAACGCTGTACTGACATTCAAAGAAACAAAACCGATGTGTTTATTTTAGACTAGACAACGTTAAACGAAGCATTGAGTGATAACAACGGCTAGATATTTATTTGACTCTTCCTATAGTGATACATGTTTTGTTCGCCATGGATCTGTGTTGATGTGTTTCTGAAAAACTTCAAACAACCCGAAGTTTACTTTTCCTAAGGCGCCGTTCAATGGATACTGAGGTTGGCTATTGGATAATGTTTGGTGGGCTCCTTCTCCACACAAAGTTCTCACATATCGGATTTTGTAGTTTCACGTGTCTGGGGTATGCAACATTTTCGGCGTAGGCAATGTTTTTTCTTCTTAATGCAAAACGTCGTTGATAGATAAAAGTTGGACTGGACTATCAGTTCTTGGTTGATGGATAAGTTGGATTAAACTATAAGTTCTTGGTTGATGGATAAGTTGGATTGGACTATAAGTTCTTGGTGGATGGATAAGTTGGACTGGATTATAAGTTCGTTGTTGATGGATAAGTTGGACTGGACTATAAGTTCTTGGTGGATGGTTAAGTTGGACTAAAAATATGTGGTTCATGGATACGTTGGATTAGCAATCTGTGGTTCATGGATACGTTGGATTAGCAATCTGTGATTGATTGATAAACTGAACAATCAATACCTGTTTGATGGATACGTTTTACTGAACTATGCATTCGTGGTGAATGGATAAGCTCATCTAACTCTGCAGGAAGGATAATTTCGACAGTATATGATCGTGTTGGATATTCAGCTTTGTTGTATGCCGTGACGTAAGGGTCACTTTTGACGGAATAAGATACACGACTGACCGTAGAGGTGAGGCGATTCTTTTAATGGATTTACAGTGGTGAATTTTCCTAGTGTATGATCAGTGACAGCATACACTCCTTAAATAAAGAGAGAAAGATTGTGAGTGACATGCTGTTCAGCCTATAAACTCTGGATATTTAACACGAACATTCGTTAACATAACTGGATAATGATTACAGAATCTATAAAAACTTGGAGCGGTTTTCCTGAATGCTGTTCAAGTTATGGAGTTTGTTTTTGGACTATCTTATAGAAAGGCACACGAGATGTTACTTTTACACATCAGGTACAATGAGTGGAATTAGCAGCTTGCGGATAGCGAAGTTTTATGGACTATTTTAGTACAACTGCATGAACTTGGATACCTCGCAGGGAGAGATTTTATGGACTATTGTAGAACATGCAATACAAAACTTAGATGTCTCGCGAATGTGAAGTTCTATGGTAGAATAAACAACACTTAACTTAGACAACTTGCGAATGTGATTCTATGGACTATAGCAGAACGAGCAACACCAAACTTAGATATCTAGCAGAATGTGCGATTCTATAGACTAGAAAAAACAACACGAAACTTAGAAACCTTGCAGAGAGCGAGGTTATATGGACTATGCAAACTCAGACGAATCTAAATCCTATTTAAACCCGGTTGGCTGGCTCGCATTTTGATGATTGCTTGTCTCGCGAAATCTGCGTGAACGTCGCGGGGAGTCTAGAGAGTTCGTGGCATTTCGAGCTGCCCTGCTTTAGCTGTTTAGCCGTACCATCATCAGGATGAAGACCAATAAAGTGCTGTGGCCGTGAATGAATGTTAAAGAAAGGTGCAATTTTTAACCCAACCTCATTGTACAAAACTTTAAAGTAATTTTTTTTTTCTCCATGCAAAGTGCAGTCACCGGCAAGCGAGCAGTACACATTTTTTAAACAATAAACGTAATGATAAATCCAGACTTGGAGACTGTAAACATGATCTAAGACGATTACTGTGAGTTGTTAACTAGAATAGCCAAAAACATAAGCGTGTTTAGCTTATGTGCACATGTACTGATTTTATGCTCTGAACACAACTTGTACGGACAAACTGATGACGTTCTACACAATATATCCATGTGATAACTTGTATTCTGATGATGTGTTACAGAAATACACTTTATGGTATGATGATGTGTTTCGACTACAAGTTTGACGCTATTCGATTGGAGAGCAATCTGTAACAAATAGATGGCAGATCTTGGACCAGGAAGTTGTGTTCTGTGTTCACTGGATAAACTTTAACGTTGCGAGCTAAACTAAGTGTGAGTGATGGGTTAGAAAAATTATGCACAAATTATAGTGGTCCTTTTGTCTGTAACATTTGTACACTGGAATTTGTAGGAGATCAGGTTCTATAAATACCGATGTTGTGTTAACGGCGTTTTTAGAGAGTGAACGAGAAGGAAATATAGGCGATTTGTGGAGCTACAACAGGGAACGTGTTGATGTGAAGGGGTGGGGAGGCGTACTAGAACAGGGAACTGGTGGATATGGGGGAGGGGGTACTAAAACAGGGAACTTGATGATGTGATGGCGGGGGGGGGGGGGGGAGGGGGGAGAGGCTACATCAGAAAACTACAACCAGAATGTGAAACACAAACACAGCAAACCTTGTCAAACGAAAACCTCAGTTCTGTGATCAACGTACACTATTGCAAAATCGATTCTGCCATCGGAGTAAAACGTCTTTTTAAAATAACATGTATTACATAATCGATACTCTCTGACGATGATATCGATACCGCTACGAACGGACGGCAAACGACATTGTGATGTCTGGAAGAGTTATCTCTGTAAATATTTGTAGAATTCTTCTTTGTCCATCACGTGGTTGTTGGGTTTTTTTCCTTACCCATAAATGCTCTCATGGATTGTCGATACTTTTTTTTTCTGTCTAGCTGGTTTGGACAGCAATAGTCGACGCTCTATTTTTAGCCATACAGCCCCTTCATCGCAGCCATCTAAACTTTCGCCATTTTTGTTTCTTAGTTACTTTGTTTATCCACTACATATATCACATCTTAGAAACATAGCACATATATACATATATATATATATATATATATATATATATATATATATATATATATATATATATATATATATATATATATATATATATATAATTATGTATTAATAAGACTGAAATGGGGAGTTTTCAATTTGTTGATACATGCAAATTAGGCGTTAAGACAAGAATATTTTGAAAATTAAAAAAATGTTTTGTTTGGTCGTTGAGGTTGGAATGAGACTTTTGCTGTTTCTCTTCAAACATCTAAATGAAGAGATAATTTATTTGTAGTAAAACACCACACGCATTCAAGCGTACACTTACACTTACAGAAAAACACGCATGCAATTTTCTGCTTTATAAAAGATCACCCCCCCCTAGATATACACACACTTACATCTAATTATATACTTAACATAAACATCCTCTCACTTAGACCTTACAACTTATGTTCAACATAAGCCTCCGTATAGTCTCCATACACGTTTTAGATTTTTTAATTAATTATTCGACGCTTCTCATTAGAAATAAAATGCTCTTTAATTATCCTTCATCTAAAGCTTCACCTCATAAAGCAATCACGAAACATTCACTCAACGAGAACAGAGAGCACGACAATAGCAAGACATTTAGAGTTACATTACACGATATTTTTTGTTCAAAACTTGTCAGGAAATCACAGGATTCATGTTCGTCTGTGTGACTTCACGGTGGAGTAATCCATTCTTTGTTACATCACTTCCATTGTTATGCATATATATATACTGACTTGTGTGAATTTATTCGCTATAGTTATTTAAGGTTAAATTGTCATGCATATGCACACTTGAAATGTGACGTTTTAATAAATTACTTAATCCATAAACTACATAATCTTTTCAATACGCAATCAATACATTCGTTAAAAATATATACTCTAAAACAAAAACATTTTCTAAGTTTTTTTTAGATAAGGTGAAGCAGTTCACTTCTCACATAGAGCCAGCTGTTAGTGTAGGGTGTAGGGATGTTCTGTTACATCCCCGGCATGAGCTTAGCCTGATGTATCTAACCACACACCACCATCTCTCTTGTGAAGTTTGTGTACAGCCACCCTCAACACAAAACACAGATTCACCCAAATAAACAACCACATTCTTGATGTATCTAACCACACACCACTATCTGTCTCTCGTGAAGTTTGTGTACAGCCACCCTCAACACAAAACACAGATTCACCCTAAGAAAAAACCACATCCTTGACTTATCTAACCACACACCACCATCTATCTCGTGAAGTTTGTGTACAGCCACCCTCAACACAAAACACAGATTCACCCAAATAAACAACCACATTCTTGATGTATCAAACCACACACCACTATCTGTCTCTCGTGAAGTTTGTGTACAGCCACCCTCAACACAAAACACAAACATATACACCCAAAGAAAAAATCAAATTCTTTTGATTTATTCAACCACACACCACCATTACTCTCGTGAAGCCAGTGTAGGACCAGAGCATTGACAACCGCCTGCAAAAAAAAAAAAAAAACACGAACATATACACCCAAAGAAACAACTTCATTTTTATAGTCAAATATTTAAAGAGTGTCAGGTATTCTGTTAATTCGTTTTGCAATAAGTCTGCTTTGAAATAAAATGGTATGTTTATTTATACGTTTTATTTATCAAATGTAACAAAAGCAATGAAAATGTATGAGTTACTTTGTACCTGTAAAAACATAACCATACATCCCATATGATGTTGAATAAATTCATTTTGCACGTTTTACCATTCATGTCGCATGTTTTATATCAGGATTCTTTAAGCTCATATCACGAGGCGCATGCGCACTATAAAAAAAAAA